AAGTGTTATATGAAAATGGAACGAAAAAAATCCAAAAAAAATTCTTGAGTTTTAACTAAGTGTTTGGTACGAGAATTTGTGTTATGACTCGTGACTCGCTACAGTGTTTTATCTCACAAAAAATGCACGTAAACCAAGAATGATTCTGAATCATGGTTCTGAATCCGCGAACCAAACGTCTACAAATCTCATGTTTGCCTTTATAGGAACACCACAAGTTTTAAGTTTAGATTGACATATGTTAGTAGACATAAATTATTGTAAACAATGCTACAATCAAAACTATTTAAAAATTAAAAAATCTATAAAAACCATAAATATATACTTGAAAAACCACAAATTCTCACAAAATCTAATGATATCGAATCAAATACAAAAAAGTATAAGCAAACTTTTGTTCACTACACAAAATTTAAATCATGTCACTGTGGTATATTTTGTAATAATTTTAGTACCCATAATAAAAGTCAACCTAACCTTAAAAACTAGGGTATGGTGCCTAAATATCTCTTAAATATTATCCCTTAAGTTTTCAAAAGAACTAAAAAAAGCCCATTAACTTGTTAAATTATAAAAAATAACATAAATAACCTTAACAATCAATATAAAAATACTATTTTTGAAATATTAATAACTAAGAATTAGATTTAGATAAAAACTTAAAAATTTCAATAAAATAAATCTATTAAAAAATCTAAATTTTACCATGTGAAATTGATCCAACGCAAGACATAATCTTACGTCATTGTCATCCACAGATGACTAGTCGTATTTAAGAATTAGAATTAGATAAAAACTTAAAAATTTTAATAAAATAAATCTATTAAAATAATTCAAATTTTGCCATGTCAAATTGATCCAACGCAAGACATAATCTTACGCCATTGTCATCCACAAATGACTAGTCGTATTTTCACTTGTCAGATTGATCCTGTCCCATACTAGATTATGCTCCATGATCTTCCAAACCCACTGGTTCTTTTTTTTTTCCCTTGGTTTTGTTTAGCTTTGGTTTATTAAAAAAAATCTTAAGTGCCTAAGACCTCTTGATCTAATGACACCTGACAATTAAATAAAAATTAAATTATACATAAAAAAGGAAACTAATGATAGAGTTTTTTTTTTTCCTCTCCTCACAACCCAAATGCACGTCATATTCCCAAATTATAAATTATTTCTATTTTAAAATTTATGTCAAAACCCTAATTTTCAACTTTTAATGACTATTCCAAAAAGTTATATGAAGTTATGTTAAATTTTCATGATTTTTTTTTCATGAAAATCCTAATTTTTTATGATTTATTTCATGAAAATCCTAATATCCAAAACCCTAATTTTCAACTTCAATAACTATTCTAAAATGTTATGAAATTCATGACTTTTTTTTTCTTTTATGTTTATATTCATTTGCTAATTATTTCATTTTTTAAACTTAATTACTATTTTACCTTTTTTTTTATTTATTACAAAGTCGATTCAATATTTTTTTTTCTTCTTCCTTGTTTTCTTTGTTGCTTATGCTCATTTGCACTTTTGCAATTTGGTTTGATCATATGTCAATTGTATATTTTGCTGCGTGTGTCCATATGTTCTTTTTCGTTTTTGCCTTTTTAATTACTTTTTTAATTATTATTTTTGAACTTAAAATAGACAGTGATAAATAAATAATGATGTTATAGTAAAATATTAAGTTATGTGAGTGGTTTGTAGTTAGAGGGGGTGTAGAGAATAAAGAGAGAGTGTGAATAGAATCACTCTTAATAATTTTATAAAAATAATTAAGGGTAATTTTAAAATACAAGAGTGTGTAAAAAATAAATTTAATTATTTAAAAATTATGCGTGTAATTACAAGGGGAGTGAAGAGAATAAAAATGGGTGTAAATAGAACCGCCCTTAACAAACACATAAGAATAAATGTGGAATTAAATTAAGGGTGCATTTATGGCGGAGAAAACTATTTTGTTCCACTCGTAAGAATTGTGTCTTAAATATTAGGTTTGTTTTTAATCCTGTGATTTAGAGCATTCATCCTGGGTCGAGCTGTAAATTTTTGATACTAATATGCATAAATCTGATAAGTAAAAAATTAATCTAACTGAAAACGACAGTTTTCACTTATAGATAAAATAAGATTATTTACCTTTTTATATCCTGTAGTTTAGAGTTATTCAAAAAATATACCTTCAAATTTTAATTACATCAAATATAAAACGTCATACATTTAATACACAAATTAATACATTTTCTCACTAAAACTTCTAATTTTGACTCAAAATGCCCAAATCACCCTTAAAAGAAAGAAATAATAAAAATTAGAAATAACAATTACTAAAAACACAAAAGAAGAGACGGTTTGGAAAAAGAAAAAAAAAAACTTGAACACCACCAGGGACCTTTTTTTTCTTTCTTTTTTTAAGGAAAAAAAACCAACCAAAATTATCCAAATTTTCCATTACTAATTATCCACACCCCACATTTATCAGCAATCAAACACCAGTAAAGTATAGCGAGATGTATTCGCTATGAAATCATACATGTGACCCCATGAATTAACGCAACACTATGGAGATTAAGGGTCTGTTTGCTTCATGTGTTTAAATCAGTAGTTTTGATTTTACATTTAAATTTTGTGAGATAATTCATTGATGACAACTTTTTAAATTCAAATTTTTTGTGAGAAAAAACACTGTAAAAAAAAATCAAAATAATGAGTTTAAATTCATAAACCAAACGGGGCCTAAAACCAACTTGAATAACTAAGAAACTGACTTTACTAAAATCGAATCGGCTTCATCAACAAAACAAGAAATTTACAGAAAACACCAAAAGAATAAAAAGGAGCCCAACCTTAACCAAATATGCTTGCGCCTTCTAGCCTAAAAGTTAGACCAACCTCTCCTTGATAATGATAACATGATCGTTCTCGCCTTCAAAGTTGGTGCTGCTCTCAAAATCTACTACGCTATCAATGTTAGTGATTGTCAAAATTTCCTAGGGGCTTGGGGAGGGAAGTCGGAAGGGACCGAAGATGACACGAGATCATCAAACATGTTGGTGAGATCGTCAAAGAATCAAAGGGGTCGTCCCTTTTTTTGCCGAAAATTTTGTTTTAGCATTCTTCTTTGTGTTCATTTTGTTCGTTTTTTTTTTTTTTTTTTTTTTTTTTAAATTTCATTTAGATTAGACTTTCTTCAGCATTTCTATTTTGCTTTTAAAGGGTATTTTAGACATTTTAAAGGTTAAAGTAGAGTGTTGACTGATTAAACGTATGAATTTGTATATTTAATGTAATGTGATGGTACTTATTTAATGAGATTAAAAATCAATATATATTTTATGAATAAATCTTAATTCTTTTAGCTACACATAGTAAAGAAGAATCCATTTTTCGGATTCTCCTCCCCTCTTTTTAAACTTTCCTTTTCTTTTTGTGTTTTATTTCTTTATTATTTCTTTTTTCCTTTCTTTTTTTTATCACCATTTTCATGTTTATCCTTTTTTACCCTATTATACATTTTTATTTTTTTTCCTTTTTTCAAATTATTTTTCTCTATAATTCTTCATTAAAATAATTTATTTTTATATATATCCCTGTCTAAGTGTTTTTTTAAAACCCTCTTCTACTATTGACGAAATGATTCGTCCCAGGCCTATTTTTTTTGTTTTTGTTTTTCTTGTCCTTCATTCTTCTTTATTCTTTCGACCTTCATTTTTTTTCTCTCTTTTTTTATCCTTTTTTGTTGCTTTCCCTATTTCTTACTACATTACTAAGGGAAAATAAGTTTCTCCATTGATATTTGCAAAATATTTCGTACACGAGAGGTATATGTAAACGTTTCGTAAAAGATTTCTTTCCCCTTGCTCAAGCGAAATTTTTTTAAATTTTTTGGGATTTTCTTTTTTTGAATTTTAGGTTTTTTCCCTCTACGTTTTGCTTTAAATCGTTTTCCCTTTTAGTTTTTTTCTTCCTCTATACCTCGAGCATTTTTTATTAGTATATATAAGGTATAAAAAGATAAACATTCTTAAAAGATATGATTAATTATAAAAATTCTCTTTAAATTATACTACTTATAATACTTTGTCCTTAAATCTTTAAAACTTAACATTTATTTTTCTTAAACAATAAAACATTAATAAAATGACCCATCTGTTAAGAAATCTAATAGCTTTTATAAGTGTTGCATCTATGATAGTTGTAAAAAATAAAAATTTCTTATTTTTCATTTGGTTATTTTTATCGTAAAAAATATTAAAAAAACTTCATAATTTTTTTATCATACCAAAAAAATCATAAAATGTTTCTTATATTTAATTAATAATAAGTGTTTCATATTTAAAAGTTTAAATTTAAATTAATTTTAATTTTAAATCATATAGTTACAAAAATACATAAATTTAATATTAATTTTCGTTAAAAATTTAATAAAATAAGGTTTTTTATTAATATTTTATTATTTAAGAGTAACATCGGATGAGAAAATTTTCGTAATTAACCTCAAAAGATATATATCCTCCAAGAGGCCTTTGTAAAAATAACTCAATAGGAAAGTTTTATTAGTAAAATAACTTTTCAAAAATTTTTATTTACAAAATGACTTTCTGAGTAGAAAGAAAAACGAAAAAAAAAAATCAGAACTTCACCCCACCCATGGATCCATTGCTCAGCTCGATCCGAACCGCCACGTTCTCGACCTTCTCGAGCCTCGACGTCGCGATTCAAAGCCATGAACCTCGCCGGCGTCGTCGCCAGGGCCATTCTCAGCGTGATTCTGGAGGTGGGTCTCGGCCTTTTAGGGATAGAGAAAGAAAAGAAGAGAGAGAAATGGAGTGCTGCCATTGATTCCGGCGGGAGGAGCTGCCATTGATTCCGGCGGAAGGAGACCGGCGGGAGGAGAAATAAATAAAATTAAAATTAAAAAAATCATTTTCCTAATTTTATTTTTTCACTTGGTTATTTTAACCAAATTCTCGTCCTCCAATAAGATTCCCCTTAAACACTGTTTGTGGGAATCAATAGGATTATCGCCAGAAAGAAATGCCGGTGAGAGTTGTGGAGAGCTCTGCACCTTCTCAGGTTTCTGGTAACCTCCTCTCTTTCCAATTCCATAACTATTCGCCTTAACAATCAAAACCCTTTTCCCAATCACCCTTTCTACTTGGGCTTATTTCTGTTTTCTCTTTTCTCCACTAGTTAGCGAATACGAGATTGTTTATCTCTTTTGCCATTTTCTCGAAATTTCATTTTGTTTTCTCACCTAATTTTACTGAAATAACCAGATCATGATTCAATTTTTTTTCGTGTTTAATTTAATCCATTATAATTCCTTTTGAATGTTATTATTATGTTGCTAAATTTGGTATTTTACATCTCAGAAGGTGCAAATTCTGAACATACGTCACCCCAGGCTTGTACCCTTTTGAGTGTTGGACAGGTAAATTTTTTATCTCTACTATCTTCTTTACTTAATTTTGTATGTGGGTATTGTCAAAATCTTGTGCTTGTAGTTGCTAGTGATGTTGATTTATATAAGGTCTGCATATACTCTTATGGTTAGTTGCTTAATTGTTGATGACATAAAAGAGTTTACGCTTGATAGTTTACTGCTTTTGATCTTGATTTTATCCATGAATCACAATATAGCATTGTGAATTATCCAGTGTTTTGCAATTGGAGATTTGCAAACAGTGAAAACATTTGCAAACAATCAAGAATTTGGACAAAAAAGAAGCTGCACGAATCGCGATAAAGCATTGTGTATCATTAACATAAGACACATGTTAGTCGAATGTTCTGAAATTGAAGATTTCTTGTGTATACCAATTTGACTTTTCTATGTTTGAGGAGTGCCACAAAATTAAAACAAAGTGAAAAATCTTTATGAAGAATCAAGAATTTGGAGAAAAAAGAGGCTGCGCATTGAGATAACTACAAGTAATATTTATTTGGGCGATCCATACTTTTTTTTTTTTTTTTGGCTAAAATGTCTAGGTTATCCATTAATATTCAAATTTCTTTCATTCTCCCTTTCCTTCTCGTTCACTCGTTTGTTTAAGTTTGTAGCTTGAGTTTTCGTGAGTTCGGCCGCTTAGCATAGTATGAAAGTCCTAAGGCCGCATGGATTAGTACTCCATTTGCTAGCTAAAATCGTTGAGTCTTGCTGTCATTAATTAAAGCAACGATGTTCTTGGCATGTGGCTAAAGTTATACTCCTTAATTTTTATATATGCGGTTTATTACCCCTGTCTTTGACCACAGTTTTATGAACATCAAATTGTATGTTGCTAGTACATGAAAGATGGAGATGTGACAATTTCGTTCTTTACATTGTTAGATACTTTGAAGCTTTTATTTGGTAACCGTGATATTGAATATCAGTTTTAAAACAAAATGTCAGTCTTACTATTTAGTACATTGGCTGCAACAGCTTGTTTAAGGGTAAGAATCGTCACTCGAGAATATCGCTTCTTTGTTTTGAGGTGGAGAGGCGAGCCCTGTTCTCTTCTCTTTGTTTTTGTTCTTATTTGATATTCATTATACATTATTGTTGTCATGTAAAGTTTGTGCATCAATGCATGTAAATGAAGATTCGGAAAGATAAAAAGCTTCTGTTGATCTCAGTGGTCTAATTATTTTACAGACCTTCTCTGGTACTCAGAATGTTTCGGGTCTGCAAAAAGATGAAGCATGGAGGGTAAATGTCTGTATACAAGGACGCGACCTCGAACACGGTTATCTTTGTGGTACCATGGAAGCTCTTAACGTTCCCATGGCAGATACACCAGTAAGAAATCTCTGCTCTTCATATGTCAACCACTTAACCTGTCTGAGTAGCCTCTTTGTCCTTCCTTGTTTCCTGCTTGTGGAACTATTTAGGATTATTAATGAAATGGTGACTCCCTTTTTAAAAAAAAACAAACAAACGGGATATATACATTTTTTCCAAAAAAAAAAGGAAAAGAAAAATGGATATATACATCTTAAAGAGCAAAGCAGCTGCTTTTCTTTTGAGGATATCTCTTCACAATATTAGTTATGAGTAGGTACTGTGACATCTATTTCATGGCTTTATACTGCATTGATTTGCATGTACACGTGTCAGCACTCCAGAATTGCAGTTTACCATTATTAGATGATGCATCAGAAATCAATTTAACCACTTCAATTCCTAAAATTTCAAAGCTTTACGTACCATTTCTTAACCTGTTGCAAACGTCACATTTTTATAGAGTTTTTGGTAAGATTGTAATTTGATGAGGTTGGAAAGTTAGGGAGTTAGTTAGGATTTAGTTCTATCTTTTGTTCAATAAGAAATCTGATTCCTAGAACTTAGGAGTCATATACTATAGTGTAGGTTTGAGGGGAAAAAAGTATTTTCGGGATCTTATTTCATTTAATCAGAAATTACATATTAATAGGCAGAGATTTTTAACTATAACCCCTTAAATCTAGGAACGAAAATCAAATCCTATCTACATATGAAATCAGAAACAACTAGAAGATCTTATCTAGAATTATAAATTTAAACTAATTAATGAAACAATTAAATCTAATCTGATTTTTTCCCCAATCCTAACTTACACTCCGACACTTCTCCTTAAGTTGGAGCAGAGATATCAATCGTGCCTAACTTGCTGATTAGATGTTCGTAGTTAGCTCTCTCAGAAGTCCTTTGGTCAACATATCTACTGTTTGTTGAGTCGTTGGGACAAAAGGTAGACAAATCTCACCAGACTCGAGCTTTTCCTTTATAAAATGCCGATCTATCTCAACGTGTTTGGTCCTGTCATGTTGTACAGGATTATGAGCGATAATTATTGCAGCTTTATTGTCATAGACGACTTCGTGGGACGATGAGTTGTCCTCCTTAATTCTTCTAGAACTTTACTTAACCAAAGAGCTTCACAGATGCCATGTGCCATTGCTCGGAACTCGGCGTCGGCGCTACTTCGTGCTACGTTCCTAGTGTTTCTTGAAAATGAGTCCTTTTCATGGGGTAGCTTTTAGGTACCTCATGATCCTATAGACTGCCTCAAGATGTTCTTCTCATGGTGAGTGCAAATGCGATATTTGGTCGAGTATGTGAGAGATATATCAACTTGCTTGCTAGCTGTTGGTACCGGGTTGTATCAACTAGCACACCATCAGTTTTTTCCCTGAGCTTTTGATTTGGATCCATAGGCGTATCAGAAGGTTGTTACTTACTCATTGTGGTTTCATAAGGAGTTCAAGAATGTACTTTCTTTGGGATATGACTATGCCTCCTTGGAACAAGCTACTTCCATTCTAAGAAAATATTTAATTGGACCCATATCCTTGATTTCGATCTCTTGTGCTAAGTGGTGCTTCAATCGCTCTTATCTCTAGTGAATTATGTCTTGTAAGGATAATGTCATCTACATAGACTATCAAAACTATCACCTCTCCTTTTCCAAAAAATTTGAGGAACAAAGTATGATCAGTTTGAGCTTGAGTACACTCGTATTTCTTCACGGATCGGGGGAATCTGTCAAACTTTTCAAACTTGAGGGGGGGCATCCATATAAACTTCCTCTTCCAGATCTCCATTAAGGAAGGCGTTCCTTACATCCATCTTGTGTAGAGGCCAGTCCAAGTTGGTGGCAATGGGTTGTAGAACTTTCACTGTGTTCAGCTTCACAACTGGCACGAAAGTCTGATAGTAGTCAATGCCATATGTCTGAGTGTAGCCCTTCGCTACTAGTCGAGCTTTGTACTGTCCCACCAAGCCATACTTTACAGAAAAAAACCCACTTGCATCCAACAATGCTCTATCCCTTTGGTAAATCTGTGACTTCCCAAGTATGTTTGTTCCTAAGGGCATTCATCTCCTCAAATACAGCTTCCTTCCATTTACGATTGTTTAGAGCTTCCTGCACACTTCTCTGGATTTCTATACTTGAAAGATGAGGGACAAATGCACGATATGATGGTGACAAACGTTCATAAGAAAGTTTGACAAGGGATGTTTAGTACAAGACCTGACTCCTTTTCGACAAGCAATAGGAAGATTACTAGACTCGACTTAGGAAGGATCTGAAATGGAAGAATTTTTACTTGACCTCTATGTGGAATTCAGACATAGCTTTGCGTTGGAATCACGACCTTGCCCCAAAGTTTTGGTCTCTCTTTTGTTTCAAGTACTCTCTTGAGTATACATTCAGTCATTTTCTTTGCTCCTTGTTTTCCATCAGTTTCTATTTTTCTACCCTCTATATTAGGCATTATTGCGTTCAGTCAATTGTCTTGGAATAAAGATTCGATTCAGTTCCAACTTTGCCAGGCATTTCTTTTCTGACCGTCTTATGTTCAGCAGATGGTTCGGATTCAACAGGGAGGATCTCAGGTGCCCCAGATTCAGGTGATGAGGAAATCTCAGGTTCAACAACTTGTTTTTCAGCTAAAACCATTTCATCTGCTTCCGGAATTGCAGGAAGTACAAAATTCGATTTTCGAAGCATCAAATCAAGATTTGAATTTAAATTTGATTTTTTTATCAAAATTTGAATATTATTTTAGAAACACCGAATCTTCCATATTCACCGAATCTTCCACATTCTCCGAATCTTCCACATTCGTCTCCCCCTGAAGATGAGTATTACCAAAAAGGGATTTGATTCAAAAAAAGTTACGTCCATAGGTACAAAAGTCTTTTTTTTTTTGAAATCGGTTTAAAACATTTATAACCTTTCTGAGTTGGGGAATATCCGATAAAAACACATTTTTTTGCTCTTGGGTCAAGTTTACCCTTATTATGACTGTGGATGTGAACAAAGGTTATGCATCCAAAAATTTTCGAGAATATTTGATAAAATCCGTGACTCAGGAGAATAATTTTGGGAAATTTTTAATGGTATCGTAAATTTCAAAACTCTTCTAGGCATGCAGTTTATTAAAGAGGCCGCTGTAAGGGTTATATACATCTTAAAGAGCAAAGCAGCTGCTTTTCTTTTGAGGATATCTCCTCACAATATTAGTTATGAGTAGGTATTGTGACATCTATTTCATGGCTTTATACTGCATTGATTTGCACGTACACGTGTCAGCTGTCCCGAATTGCAGTTTACCATTATAAGATGATGCGTCAGAAATCAATTTAACCACTTCAATTCCTAAAATTTCAAAGCTTTACTTACCATTTCTTAACCTGTTGCAAACGTCACATATTTACAGAGTTTTTGGTAAGATTGTAATTTGATGGTGTCGGAAAGTTAGGGAGTTAGTTTGGATTTAGTTCTATCTTTTGTTCAATAAAAAATCTGATTCCTAGAACTTAGGATTTAGATACTATAGTGTAAGTTTGAGGGGACAAAAGCATTTTTCAGATCTTATTCATTCAATCAGAAATTACATATTAATAGGCAGAGATGTTTAACTATATAAATCTAGGAACGAAAATCAAATCCTATCTACGTATGAAATCAAAAATTACAAAATCAGAAACAACTAGAAGATCTTATCTAGAATTCTAAATTCAAACTGATTAATGAAACAATTAAATCTAATCCGATTTTTCCCCCAATCCTAACTAACACTCCGACACTCCTCAAGTTGGAGTATAGATATCAATTATGCCTAACTTGCTAATTAGATGTTCGAAGTTAGCTCTCTCAGAAGTTCTTTGGTCAATATTTGCTATTTGTTGAGTCGTTGGGACAAAAGGCAGACAAATCTCGCAAGACGCAAGCTTTTCATTTATAAAATGCCGATCTATCTCAACGTATTTGGTCCTGTCATGTTGTACAGGATTATGAGCGATACTTATTGCAACTTTATTGTCACAAACGACTTCATGTACAAAGAACATCTAGAGGCCGTCTATCGAATTTTGAGGTATTTAAAGGGTTCTCATGAAAAAGGCTTATTCTTCCAACAAAAAAAAAAAAAAAATCCACAACGAAATATTGAAGTCTACACCAATGCAAGATTGGGCAGGTTCTGTAACTGATCGAAGATCAACAACCTGATACTCTACTTATGTGTGGGGTAATTTGGTTACATGGAGAAGCAAGAACCATAAAGTTGTGTCTCGAAACAGTGCTGAAGCATAATACAGAGCCATGGCCAACGGGGTTTGTGAATTATTATGGTTACAACTGGTTCTTGCAAAATTACAGAAGCTTGTGAATACACCGATGAAACTGTACTGTGACAATAAAGCGGCAATAAGCATAGTTCATAATCCAGTCCAACACGACCAAACCAAGCATGTCGAGATCGATAGACATTTTATCAAGGAGAAGCTTGAAGCAGGAATCATTTGCATACCATTCGTTTCAACATCGTAGCAAATGGCAGACATTCGTACAAAAGGCTTGTTCAAACCTAACTTCGAGGTTCTTGTCAGCAAGTTGGGTTTGATCGATATCTACGCACCAACTTGAGGGGGAGTGTCGGAAAGTTAGGGAGTTAGGATTTAGTTCTATTTTTTGTTCAATAAAAAATCTTATTCCTAGACTTAGGATTCAGATATTATAGGTTCTAGATTTGTTATTTTCATCAAGTTAGTTAGGATTACAAGGATACAAGCAATCCAATTTTATTCATGTAATTCACATATTATTCAATAAGAAGAATTGAATTATTTTCTTCTCAAAACCTTCAGATGATAATGTAACTTAGAAGTGTTTGTTGCTTTTATTTTCCTCTTTTGCGTTTCTTTATGTTCAATGACATCCTTTGACGTAAGAATATCGTTTTTGATATTATTGTAAAAAAAAAAACATAGATCCCAGTTTTTGTAGTTTTATTTCCCCCCCTCTGTTTTTTTTTTTTTTTTTTTTTTTTGAAGTCCTCATAAAGCATTACCTTTTCCATTCTAACATCTGTCAGGTAGTAACCTTTTGGGAAGGAGAAATTGTTGATACCAAGAATTATACTTTCTTCACTGGCAAATGGGAAGCAACGTATGTTTCCTTTCGTTTTGTATTTTTTTTTTTCTCAGTTCATTATACTTTTTAGGTAGCTCAAATCCTGTTTAAATTGCAGATTCTATCTTTTCTTTATTTGTAATTATTGATGATACTATCAAGTACTGCTTTTATGATGCCATTGCCATTCACTAGATAGCTATTCAAAAATCAGAAGCACGAACAAATCTGTTTTCTACTTCTGACTAGTTTGTGATATCTTGGCAGACCAGAGGATGATATTAGGCACTGGACCAAGTTTACTTCCTTTAGTCCTTTAACGGTAGGAATCCCGACTTCTTAATCAGACTCGTAAAATTCCTAATCTCCCAATTCATGTGTTTGTTTGTTTATTTATTTATTTGGGCAGAGCCAAGTGAAAGCTGATGGGGGAAAATCTTTGGACCTGAGCAACTATCCGTACATATTTATGATAATTTAATCTTGCAACCTTATTTGTGGTATGAAAGTTAATTTAGCATAGTCGTACAAAGTTGTCTTACTAAGATCTAGTCAGAAGATGGTAGGGTCGACCCGACCCGTTTGGTATATGAGTTCAAGAAATAGTTTAAATCAGGGTTTTTGATTATGAATTTTAAAATTTAAATTTTTTATGAGAGAAAAATACTGTAGCATAATTAAAACTATCAAATTTATACTATAGATTTGACACAGAGACTTTTAATTCATAGATTAGAACTATTTTTGATTTACGTGTATTTTTTGTGAGAGAAAATACTATAGCGAATCATGAACTATAATTCAAATTATGGTATGAATTCTTTTACCAAAAGTCTCCCTAACATGGTTTTGAATTCTATACTTGGTCAAAAACATATGAGAATAAAAGAATATATGCAAAATTGATAGAAATTGATATTTGATCTAACAACAATTTAGAACAGAACCTACAAGTATTTCTTTTTCGCACGCTAAAAATCTCACACTTAACAATATTAATTGGACCAACATTACCGAGTACATCAAGGACAAGTGTCAAACTAGAAGTGCTTTTGTGGATGAAACCAAAGCAGTTAAAATGCAAAAAGAATATTGAAAAATAGGGAGTTTTTGTGTTGTGTGAGAAAAAAAGAATTAATAATAATTTTTTATTTTTCATTCGTAAATATTTACATAAAAAATTAAGTAAAGTCTTTGGTCAGACCATCTATCTGTTGGTGAAGGCTTACATGCAGACCATCTATCTGTCTTTATTTATTGTCATATATGATAATAGGTTGGACTAGTTAAGACTTTCGCATGTGAATGTAATTATCAGAAATCTTAGTACGAAAATTCGTGTTATGATTTGAATTATAATTTGTGGCTCGTTAAAATGTTTTTTTTTTAAAAAAAACACGCGTAAATTGAGAATGATTCTGAATCATGATTTTGAATCTATGAACCAAACGTTCACAAAAGATATTCTTTCAGAGTATGCATTTTTATTTTCTAATTATGCATTATTTTCTATTTCATAATAACCTTATCATTTCCATAAACAATATCAAAAAAACTTCGCCCATGGTTACTTGTAGCCCATCAAAGCCCCCATCAGCCGTGAAGGTCATTTTCTATAATATCCTCGACTGAAAGAGAAATTAGTCATCATAATTTTGATTAGGGATAATTATAATAATATATTTCGTAGTTTGAGTTTTTCATGAAAACAAGAAAAAATAATAATAAATTAGTAATAACCACTATTTTTTTTAAATTACAACATCCTTCAAATTTAATGTTTTAGTTTCAATAAAGTGAATCTCGGTGTGGGTCTCTTTCGGCAGATCAATTAACTATCATTTAGCGATTTAAAATTTAAATTATAATAAAAATAATTAAATGTGATATTTTATAAAAAAATTTATCTATAATAAAATTAAAATTAAAAATTTAAATCAATAAAATAAATAAAATATGTATTTTTTAAAGTCCATAGATCAATTAACTAATGAAAATTAGCCGAACCAGATAGGCATAGAACAACATGATTAGAAAAACGCAAAAAAAATCTTTAATTAGCGTATTCCGTACATCTTTAATTAGCAAAAATAGGCAAAAAAAAGACTACTATGACTACCGTACCGGATCGTACGGATATTGTTATATATATTAATTTTTTAGAAACCGCCTAACTAGAAGTGTGCTGTTGTAGATCAAGGATTCATGGAAATAAAATTAGATACCAGTATATTCGATAACAAAATCTGATGATAAAAAAAAAGAAAGAAAAAGGCTAAAAATTCCTACAGATCCCCGCCAGAAGGGGTAGAGGAGCTCGCGACGAGGGCCTTAACTTGCGATGGAATCGTGACCTCCTACGCGACGGACCTCGCTTGGCACAAGTCGCGACGAAATTGTTACCTTCGTCGCGACGGGATAGCAACCTCAAATGCAATGGGCCGTGACGAAATCACGACCTCCGTCTTCCTCCTCCGCCGTGCTATGTCCTTCTCCACAGACAAGATCTGAACACGAGCTTTCTTTCCCCACCAACGGTGACAGCCTCAAACTCCAGAATCGCGACTTCTCCATCGGCTATAGTCGCGACGGAGCGATCCACGAGTGAGTCGAGACCATTGCCCAGGCAACCCCACTCACTGAGATCTGAAGCTTTCAGATTTGGGTCGCCGACGACGTCTCACTGAAGGCAACAGAGGAGATCGGATCTCTACTTTTTTTCTTTTAATTTTTATTTTTTTGGTTAAATAAATTTGATTTGGTGCAATCAGTTATATTTTTATCTCTATAGGATCATATCATCATGAACGATCAATTTTAATTCAACGGATGCAAGCGTCTGTATTAGTAATATAAAAGGAATGGGAGGTATGTTATCATTTTCTTAAAAAAAAAATACATATATTCGTTAAATGTACAATTTTTTCTGAAAGCAGTAAATGTACAATTCGCAAGTGAATAAATTAAGACCCGTTCACTTCGTTGATTCGAGTTTATAATTCGAGTTGAGTTGTGATTTTATGTGAGAGCTTTTTATTGTAGCAAAAAAGTTAGATGTGACTGTTTCTGAGAGTTTTTTACTATAACAAAACTCAAATTCTAAACTCAAATCGGTAAAATGAACGAGCTTTCTTTTTATCGGCTTCTCCATTTATATCACGTCTGTGACTACGACAATTACCTAAAACATGGAAAAATTTGACCTTCTTTCGTCTTTTACAGTGGACCTAACTACTAAATATGACCCTTGCAAGCTGTAAGTGCAAATTTCTCTACTTGTTATTTCGAAATTAGAAAAGCCCCCCACCAGGGTCAAGGTCATTTTCTGAAAGACATAAAAATTAGTGGTTCAGTCAGAGAAATTAGTGGTCATAATTTTTTTGAATGACATAAAAATTTATCCACGTGTTGTTTAGAAAAGATCATCATTCACAAAGAGTAGCATACACAGTTAGCCCGTTTGTTATAAAGATTTGAATCATAATTTAAATTTTTGAGAAAATTATAAAAATAACCATTATAAAAATTATAAAATTTTTTCCGATGAAAAATGAGGTATTTGGAATTAAGACCTCTTAGATATAGAATTGCAGACAGGTATTAAACCTATAACATTATATGTGACCATATATGTTTAATTTCTCATAGAAGTCAAACACGAACACGTGTTAGCTTACATTAAAAACCAATGTAGATCAACATTAAAAAATAGAGTATTCATAGCAGAAGAAAAAACTCTATACGGCCTAGCCATGTTCTCCAAGCTCCTAATTCCTTTGCTTCTACTCCAAATCTCAACGCCATCTTCATCCAAAGATCTCAACTTCACCTTCAATGGATTCAAACCCGCCGACCTAGCCCTCGACGGCATTGCAAAGGTCACCGCCACAGGCCTCTTGCGCCTCACGAACGACACAAAGCAGCAAATAGGCCACGCCTTCTTTCCCAACCCGGTGACCTTCAAGAGCTCCCCAGCCGGCGCCGTTTCCTCCTTCTCCACAACCTTTGTCTTCGCCATACGATCCGAATATGCCACGTTGAGTGCCCATGGCATTGCTTTCGTGATCTCTCCGACGAGAGGCCTCCCGGGAGCTCTTCCTGGCCAATACCTCGGCCTATTCAACGTCTCCAACAACGGCAACGCCACCAACCATGTCTTTGCCGTCGAGTTCGACACGATCAAAAGCAGCGAGTTCGAAGACATCAACTACAACCATGTTGGAATCGACATAAACGGATTGAAGTCAGAGAAACCTGCTCCGGCAGGGTATTATAATGACAAAAATGGTGAGTTCAAAAACTTGACTCTAATAAGTGGCCAACCAATGAAAGTTTGGATAGATTACGATGGTTCCAGAAAGCAAATTAATGCGAGTTTGTCTCCAACAAATGTTGAAAATAAACCCCAAAAACCACTTTTGTCTTTGACTAAAGATCTTTCTTCAGTAATTGAAGAAACCATGTACGTTGGTTTTTCCTCCTCCACTGGCTCTGTCCTTACTTCTCATTACATACTTGGTTGGAGCTTTAACCTCAACGGTCAAGTTGAAGACCTTGACATCTCCGAGCTTCCGAAGCTACCCCGGATAAAACCGAAGCCAACATCGAAGCTCTTGACAATTGGATTGCCGGCGATTTGTCTATCATTTGCCGGCGTCGGAATTTTGGGTGTGGTTTATTTCATTAAACGGAAGAGAAAGTTTGCTGAATTGGTGGAAGATTGGGAACTTGAATATGGGCCTCAAAGGTACAAATACAAGCACTTGTATATTGCTACGAAGGGGTTCAAGGAAAAAGAGCTTTTGGGGAGAGGAGGATTTGGGAGTGTCAGTGTTACCCACAACAAAAACAGAGATTGCTGTGAAGAAAGTTTCTCATGAATCAAGACAAGGGATGAAAGAGTTCGTCGCCGAAATCGCTAGTATGGGCCGGCTGCGACACAGGAATCTAGTACGCCTTTTAGGCTATTGTCGCCGAAAAGGGGAACTTCTATTAGTCTATGATTACATGCCTAATGGGAGCTTAGACAAGTACCTTTACGACCAACCAAAAACGACACTCAATTGGAGTCAGAGATTCCAAGTCATAAAAGGCGTCGCCGCCGGCCTTTTCTACCTCCACGAAGAGTGGGAACAAGTCATCGTTCATCGCGACGTCAAGGCGAGTAATGTGCTTCTCGATGGAGAGTTGAACGGCCGATTAGGGGATTTCGGTTTGGCGAGGCTATACGATCACGGGACCGATCCTCAAACCACGCACATCGTTGGAACCGTAGGATGTCTAGCGCTAGAACATACTAAAACTGGAAAGGCGACGACGAGCACTGATGTCTTCGCCTTCGGGGCGTTCCTCCTCAAAGTTGCCAGCGGTAGAAGGCCGGAGTTCAGCAGAGGACGTGATATTGGTGGATTATGTGTTTTCTTGTTGGAGTAGAGGGAGTATTACGGAGGCGAAAGATCCAAATTTGGGGACGGATTTTGTGGAGGAGGAGGTGGAGCTGGTGATGAAGTTGGGGCTGCTATGTTCGCATTCAGAACCGGCGGTGAGGCCGAGCATGAGGCATGTGGTGCAGTACTTGGGGAGGGACATTACAATGCCGGACTTGTCCACATTGGGCCTCTGCGCAGGTGGTTTGACGTTTGCTAAGGGAGAAGG